TAATAAAAAGATATTATTTCTTTATATATTTAATTAAAACCTTTTTTAAATTATAATTTAGCTAAATAAATAAGTATTTCTTAGCGCATAAATCTATAAAATATTAATAAAAATGTTTTTAATAATTAATTTATTTAATAATTATAACAAGATTTTTATAAAGCTAATACTTTTTATAATAAGTTAATTATTATTTATAATAATAATTATATTTAAATATAATTATATATAGGAATAGTATGTATGGGCGTGGCGTGCCTATGCAGTGGGTGCGTACATGCAATGCATAAATTTAAAGGTGCATGGTTTAAACTAATCTTATTAATAGCAGCTATTAGCTAGTGCTAGCTAGCTGCTAGCTAGTGGTTATATGCTTTATATATAAACTACCATAACTAGCTTATAGCTAAATAAGGAAAGGCTATAGCTTTATTATAACCTACCCTTTATATCATAGCTAAATTAATTACCTATATAATAATTATTTACTATTACCCTTATTCTTTATATATATAATACCTATTAATATTAATTAATTGTTAATTAAAATAATTGTAATAAATAATTAAATAAGGCAATAAATCTTTATTATAATTAATTAAGCAATAACTATTAATAATAAAAATTATTTTAATTAAGTTATAATATTTATATTAAATAATTAATATTAGCATTATAAGGGCAGGTAATTATTAATAATAGGGATTTGCTTAATTAAGTGCTAATAATTATGTTAAGATTAAAATTAATAGGGAGGGATAAGTAATGTTTTAACCTTCTTATTATAAAGATTTAACCTATTAATTAATAAGTCTTTAATAATGCCTTAGATTTATTAACTAAATAACGTATTTTATTATATAAATTGTTAGTAATAATAATAATTATAATAAGCCTTAATTAAAAAGCCTTTTTTAATATACTTTTAATTCCTTATAACCTTTCTAAGTAAATGCAATTATATATTATTAAGAACTTTCTTTTTAAGCCGTTTATAAGCATTTATAAAACCTTAAGTTAATTAATAAAGCTATTTATAGGCATTTATAAATATATAATAAAAGAAGATTATTTATAATTAATGCATAATCTTAAGAAGCTTAAGAAGCCTTCCTTGCAATACCCTTAATTATTAATGCCTTTGCTTATAATTAGTATATTAAAAAGCCCTCCTTATAATACCCTTAAAAGCCCTTTATAAGGCATCCTTAATTATTAACGCCCTTACTTATAACTATTATAAAAAGCTCTTGCTTAGCATTTTTAAGAAATCCTTAAAAAGCCTTTACTTAGCACTCTTAAGAAGCCCTTGCTTAATACCTTTAAGAAGCCCTTGTTTATAATTAACGCCCCTTAAAGCACTTATGCAATACCGTTAGGGCTTATAACTCTTTAAAAACCCTTTAAGCACTTAATAAAACTAAAACTTTAAAGTATTAATAAACAATGGTTCTTTTAAGCGATTTATGCACTTAATTAATATGCTTAATTAAATATTTTAAAGTATTAGTTAGCAAAAGCAAGCAATTAATATAATTATCTTATTTATTTAATTAGCTTAAAATTATTAAGGGGAATAATTAAGATTTATTATGAATTTAGCTATATAAATAACTTAATTAAACCTTTAAAATATTTACTTTTTAATAATAATTAATATTTAATTAATAAGCATAACCTTCCCTTTTTTTAATACCCTTTTTATTAATGCCCTTTAATAAGATCTTAAGCATAAATTGCCTTAAAGCTAATAAAGGTTAGTTTATTAAGCAATAATAGCATTTAAGCGCTATTATTTATGGGTAAATGGTTTAAGAGTTGATTATTAGTTTATAAGCATAGCGCAAGAACGTTCTTTCCCTTTTCTTTGCCTTATAATTAATTATTATAAAATTTGCCTTAATAATAATAAAAACAGCAATAGCTTTAATGATAGCAATAATGCCTTATTATTATATAAAAGTAGTGCCTGCTATTAAGTAAAAGTAGCCTTATTATTAAGCAAAAGTAATGCCTGCCATTAAGCAAAAGTGGCCCTGCCACTAAGCAAGAATGACCTTATTACTAAGTAAGAGTAGTGCCTTTTATTATGCAAGAATAGCGTTTATTATAGCCGTGAAAGTAGCGTTTAGCATTAGCTATAAAAAAAAAGCTATTAAAGTAATAATTAATTAATTAAAGCATAGTATTTAAATATTTTAAAGTTTTAAAGTATTAGCAATTAAATGATTTAATTAAGCGATTTAAGCACTTAAAATGTTTAAGTATATTTATATTTAAATACTTATACTTAACTTATTAAAGCAATGGCTATAAAGCACTTAACTTATTATAGCCCTTTAAAGGATAAGATATTTATATTAATTAAGCAATTTAATTAGCTTAGTAATGATTTAAAGGAAAAGCATAATTTTAAAGCATATATATGTATATATATAAAAGATTATTAATGTAAGAATAATATATATAGGCATGGCATGCTTATGTAATAAATGTATATGCAATGTATAAATTTAAAGGTGCATGGTTTAAACTAATCTTATTAATAGCAGCTATTAGTTAGTGCCAATTGGCTGCTAATTAGTAGTTATATGCTTTGCATATAGATTATTATAGCTAGCCTATAGCTAAATGGGGAAAGGCTATAGCTTTGCTGCAACCTACCCTTTATATTATAGCTAAATTAATTACTTATATAATAATTACCTGTTATCGCCCTTACTCTCCGTATATACGGTACCTATTGACATTATAAAAAGCTAAAGTTTTTTATATATCTTATTATATACTTTAAAGCATTTAAAATAAAAATTTATAATATTAAAGTATTTATAATTATTAATAACTTTATTATATATATTAAAATATTAGTATATAATATTATTATATTTTCCTTATTATTATTAAAAATTTTAATAACTTCTTTATTTATAACTTAATTTATAATAATTTATTTCTTACCCTTTTTTTATTCTTAATTAATTTTATATTTAATAAGCTTTGCATAATTAATATATAAATAATTAATAAATATAAAGTTTTATATATAGCATTAAGTGCATTTTTTATTACTTAATATAAAGTTAGTATTTATTAATGCAAACTTTATAGCCTTTTTTATACCCTTTAATGCTAACCTTTTTTATATAAAGAAAAAATAAGCTTTAAATTATTTAATCTTTATATAAAAAATAATATTTATTATCTTAAGTTTAATTTTAAAAAATATTATAAAATTTTAGCTACTTAAGTTATTAATAATATTATTTATAATATTTAGCAATATTATTAAAAAAAAGAAGCCTTTAACTTTATTACTTTTAAAAAGTAACTTTATTAACTTCTTAATTAATTATCTTAATATTAAGATTTTAATATAAAGTTTTATTTAAAGATTTTAAAAGGCATTTAAATAGCTTTATAAATTAAAGCCATCCTTATATTGCAAATTTATTAATTAATAAAAAAGATAAATAGTTAAGTTATTAATATTATAATTAAATTAATTAGCTAATATTCTTTAAGCATTAAAAAGTTTTCCGCATAATATAATAAATATTATAAGGCTTAAATATATTAAACTTAAAAGCATAATAAAGGCTTAATTATTAAGCTTTTCCTATTTTATAAAGGCTGCACCCTTATTTAATTATTTCTTAATGCTTATAATATATTTATTAAGGCTAATAAATTAAAAGCTATAACTTTATACTGCTCTTTAATTTAAAAAGTTCTTTCCTTTTAAGTTTAACTTTAAGAAAAATAATAAGTTAAGCTTAAAATTAAGTATATTTAATATCTTTTAAATAATATTTATATATTTTTAAGCATATTTTAAATAATATTTATATATTTATTTATTTATAATAATTAGTATTAATTAATATAAATAAATAAATAAAAAAGGAGTAAATAATTAAAATATTAAATAAGGTAAAAATGCTAAATTATTATAAGTTATTATTAACTATAATAGTTATTATAAGGTATAATAATAATATATAGGCAAAGGCTAGCATAGCAATATTAAAATCCTAATAATTTAAGTATAAAAATAATTATAAAAATAAAGGTATTAATATTTTCTAATATTTTAAAATATCTTAAGCAATGCTTAGCTTATAACTTAATAAAGCAATGAAGTAAATAATAATTAATTATTATTATTAAGGAGAGAAATTTCCCCGCTATTAAACGCTCAAAAGGAGCCTATTTATAGGCTAGCGCTAGCGTATGGGCATACAACCCTCGCACCTTCCAACGAAGTATAGTAAACTAATGGCGCAAGTGGTTAGCCGCAGTTGGCGATGATCAACCACAAGGAAAAGGAGTGAAACTCTTTTGCGCGAAACTTACTTTTGTGACATGATATGAGGAGGAGGGCAAATTTCTGGCAGGTGATTTGGATCATATCGCAAATGTGGTGGTGAATGAGTTCGCCAAAGATCAAGGCGTCCCTTGAGGTCCTTCAGGGCTGCCTCAGTTATTGGTCGACTACGTCTTAAGTAAACTTAAACAATGATGTCATTTATAATGACCGGGCTTCGGCCATACTATGTTTTTTAAATTAACTGTTCATTGGTTTATTTGCTGTTTACTTAGCTTTCTAATTATCCCTTAATAGCCTTAAGCTTATATATAAAGTTGCATATGGCTTTAAATATATTTTCATTTTTTTTAAATAAAGAAATATTATAATCCCTCTTTTACTTATATTTTTAATTACTTTTCAATCCTTTAAAAGGATATTTAATTATTAATAATAAAGTAGTAAATTTAATAAAACGTAATATTATTATATTTCTTTATATTACTTATTTTATTATAAATATTATCTTTATCTTTATTTAAGAGTTACTTGGCGGAATGTGCGCACAAAACGATAAGGAGGAACTCGGAGTAGTATCGCCCGCCAGTTGCCATATCACCTGTTCATTTGGTCTTTAACACGGTTCAAGTCGCAATATGAAGACCCAGCCGGGTCAGAAGAACCTGAATACTTACGCATGAAAGCTGGACGATAAACCCACATAAACATTGGAGATACCCAGGTCCAGTGAATCTGCAAGAGCTTCGCTAGTGTCGGCCGGGGAATACCAGTCTCGCCGGCGATGTTGCCCAGCGCATATGTTTCCCAGATCGATGACTCTTTTGAGTAAGAAGATAAAAAAGTTCGGGCGCTCATCATCGATGAGAAATTGTCGCAAGTCGACGATAAAGACGTCGGTGTGGCCACTCTGGCGGATTGTGCACGGCCCGTAATAACATATCGTGCCATGTTCGTCGACGCTTAGGTCAGTCGCAATCCGGTCCTCAGGTGGGATTGATATCGTAAGATGGGTCTGCACTGGCTCCGTGCTGAGCACCGTATCATGTTCCCCGAGGTTCTGGCCAGAGGATGTGATAGTGGGCCATGGATGGTCCTCCACGAGGGATTCTGGTGCATGTTCAGCTAGGTTTGGGCCTGTTTCGGGAGATGTGCGCGCCCCAGGGGACCGAACAGGATTGCTGTCAACAGGTGAAGAGGGTTCAGGAGCTTCGGAGATGGAGGAAGAGCCTCTTCGAAGTTCGTTAATGGTTCTTTCGGCATCCTGAAGGCCTTTTGCCATTGCAAGTACTTAAGACATTGGCGGAGCTTTGTCGTATCGGCAATCATCGTGATATACTTCGCAGGTCTTACAGGTAGGCTGGCTGCCTTCGCACCGAACCTGTGAGCCAACAAGAATGAGCGTAAAATTTCGAGAGTTTTGTCAATTTGGGCATGCCAAGGCTTTTCTTTTTTCTCTGTTTTTCCCATTTTGGCGTACCTTTCTTGCGCGACAGTTGGCACATGTTAATCCCTTAGATTTTCGATTGCCGTGGGTCCGTTGTCGGCGAGGATTTGTGGCAGGTATTTGGGCGTTTTTGACGCGGTCTTGGAATAATTTCCCAGATGAAGACTTCCGAATCAGAAGTACAAACACCGCTTGAGAAACTAGAGACGGCTTCAAGTTGCGTTGACGATCAGGCTCTGTATCTGCGAGACTGCTAAGACGTTGCAGCTCCACATCTTTCCCCGCACCATGGGTTCTCCATCCCCAGCTTTCTCCGTTTCTCGATCCCCGCATCCAGAAGATGGATGTGACCCCTGTGTCAAAGCACCGAGGCTGCCAATCAACACTCTCGGCGTTTGGCCGCGGTGACCTTCCGCGGCGGAACCTCCCAGAGGTCGCAGAGCGAGTGACCCGAAGCCTGCTATGCCTAGACATGTATTACCTATGACGCGTTCCGCGCTGCCGCTTTCTTGATTGGTTATGTGAGCCGCGCCGCACTGGCAGCCTGGAAGGTCCTGACCGGTACCTTTCCTAACTGCTGGACAGTGATCAGGCAGTTATGTGTGCTGTAGCCCCTGGCTGAGGGGGCAGTGCAGCAACAGCGAGCTGGGCGCCTTCGTGCGTACTGGCCAACCTATGATGCCCAATCCGGTTCACCGGGTGTTACGCTCAAGGTTGGCGTGATTTCCTAGGATGCTTGAACGAGAACTATATGCTATTGCTTGAGGTAGCCATGGTCATGCTGGTGGATGCGATTCTGGTATACGGCGCCCACACGGATGGCTGTACCTGCACGGTGACTGGTATTACAAAGAGGCTTTGAGACCAGTCATGAAGCTGTACTGGTCATGAGGAGGAGGATGCTGGCCAGTATTTATATGTGACCAGTTACCACGGGAAGAGCAATGACTGGTTATGTAGTTGGTCACCCAGGGCCCAGGCATCCCGTCGCTGTTTAGTCAGCAGATCATGCTCCGTTTTAGTAGGGGCTGCGGACTGAAGGTCTTGTTGCAAAATGTTCCCCCTGACCATCCGCCAAAAACCAGCCCACAAAGCGTCGTGCGTCGGCCCACCCTGCTCTTTCTATACGCCCACCATTAACAACCATGCACATGGACCGCAAGCCGCAGAATTCAACTGCTACCGTGGTGCAAGTCCAGCGGCGATTGACCATCACTGACTACACTTTGGACCATGTCGATCTTCGGAATTTCTGTCCCGTCGACTTTGACACCTCATGCGAATGCCATGGACTCTCGCAAACAAGAACAGGGCTCGGCCAGCTGTGTAAGCTGCCAGTGGAGATCCTTACCGACATCCTTCTGGACCTCGACGTACTGAGCTTGCTCGCGTTCAGGCAGACCAGCCATGCCGCTATCATTTTTGTTGATAACTTAGCCAAATACTCGGTCATACGGCAACATTGTCCTGACATCCTCCGGGCCGCCTTGGCCATTCGTGCCAATTCCTTCAGCTGCAACACGCTCTACGAAACTCTCGCTACGCATTGCTGTGCGACATGCAATCGACCAGGAAATTACCTGTACCTTATCACGTGTAAACGCGTTTGTTATTTCTGCTTCAGGGGACATGTAGACTACATGCCCATGTCGTCAACCAGGGCCGCCAAGTGTTCTGGTCTGTCATTAAAAGAGGTCCAGAAGCGATTGGCTCACGTCCACAGCATTCCGGGACGATATGGAGGCTTGACGGGCCGAAAGTTTCCATCGAGGAAGCTCCTTTTTGATCGCCAGGCTGTGATAGAGGCCGGTGTGTTTGAGCGGGATCCTGCAATAGGCACCGTCAAGGAAGACACGCACGATCCCAGACGCCACATGGCCATAATCACGATACCTTACCTAGGCCGTTCGATTCAAACGCCAGTAGACTGGGGTCTATATTGCCTCAGCTGCACCAGTTCTAGCGATCCGGCAACGCATTTTCGGAATCATTACACTGCTCAGGGCATCTTGGACCACATCGATCACCATCATCCAGGGGCAGTTTTGCAGCTGGTGCCTGACCGCAACAGGGCTCGTCCGTGGGACTTTATAGAATGAGCGTCCGAAGAGACATGGAAAAATCTGCCCTCGCAGAGAAGCTGCTCTGGGATCAGGCGGACAACAGACACCTCAACACCACTGAGGCTTCGGCCACACTGTGTTTTTTTTTTAATTAACTGTTCATTAGTCTGTTTGCTATCTGCTTAGCTTTCCAACTATTCCTTAGCCTTGAGCTCTTATATAAAGTTGCAAACGGCTTGATATATTTGCTGATGGTCCTTTGGGGGAGAAATTTTAAAACCCCCTTTTTTGCCCTTAATTCTTAATTAGTTTTTAATTATTAATGTGATGGGCTTGGGCTGGAAGCCCAAGCCTTATATAGTGTGGCTAGGTAATCCAAGGGAGCTTAAATTATTACATACCTTTTAGCTTAAATGGTTAAAAGGTTGCTGCTTTTGCAGCTTATGGAAGAAGGCGCTAGCCAGCCTGCAGCCCCTTTAGGGCCAGCCCATAACAAATAATCCAAGCTCTAGGGTTAAGAGTTCAAGTCATGATCTCACCCAACCATGAAGAAGATCTCTGGCTTGAAAAGGCAATGTTACGGGTGAGCCTTAGGGGTAGTTATACCACTATATAAGGAGGGAGCCCTGGAGGAAGGGGCTATGTAATGGGCTTAAGCTGAAAGCTTAAGCCTTATATAATGTGGCTAGGTAATCCAAGGGAGCTTGAATTATTATGTACCTTTTGGCTTAAATGGTTAAAAGGTTGCTGCTTTTGTAGCTTATGGAAGAAGGCGCTAGCCAGCCTGCAGCCCCTTTAGGGCCAGCCCATAACAATTAATAATGAAAAAGTAAATTTAAAGTAATATAATATAACTATACTTTTTTTACATTATTTCTTTTATTTTAAATATTATATTTACTTTTTTAAAAAGTTTTATAATAACTTTATATTATTTCTGGGTGGATTACCTTGTGTGGTAAAACCCCCCTGCTCCGCTGATTGCTTTTATTGGCTAAGTGCAGCTAGGTGTGGCACAGCTTGCATGTGCCCTGGAGCTCCCTGCAACTGCTTGTGGATGTACTGCTTATCGCTTATCTGTTAAGGCTGTTGCTAGGCAGCTTATCGCTTACCGGCTTTCATAAACAGAGCCCCACTCGTCTAGCCCCAACCCGACTGTGCGAACTTGTCGTCCACCAACATGGTGCTGCCACCGATTTCAAAGACTGGTATGCCACCTTTGGCACAACCACACCATACGCTCAATCTCATCAACTTCTGCCATCCCGGCTACAGCTATCCTGCCAATGTTCTCTTTAAGCTGTACGCGATCGAGCTTGCGGATGAGCCTGCGACCGACGAGCCCGCGACCGACGAGCCCGCGACCGACGAGCCCGCGACCGACGAGCCCGCGACCGACGAGCCCGCGACCGACGAGACCAATCGACTGGGCGTCCACCATGAGACAGCTCGCATCGCGTGTGCGATACTCGCGAACAATACGTGGGATGGTTACCTCACGGCCAACACACCAGATGGGCCAGCCGTGCCTCTAGATGACCCTGATCGGGTCCTCACTGCCGACCATTACTATTTCCATCACCCGTCAGACCCGAAGTATCCCGTAGTTGCGGACTTTGAGTCTTGGAAGTTCCCTACGTCCACGCCTGGCCAACTGCCGTCTTACTGGCGCTCACTTGCCATCCCTCCGCCGCAAATACCTCAAACCACACCTACTCGTTGCTGCGCAGTCACAGGTCGGCATATACCGCTCGAGTATGCACATCTCATTCCAGTTTCGCAGATAGCATGGTTTGAAAGAAACCATATGAAGGTCTTTCAGAAGCGGATGGGCCAGGACAATATCAACTGGATCAACCAGACATGTAATAAGCTGTCGCTGGCCAGAGATATTCATTACCTGGCGGACCAGGAGCATCTCGTCTTTGTGCCACGTATTCACCGAGGCAAAGGCGACGGAATTGCCACCTACTCGAATGGTAGGCGGGAGGCTGAAGCAGTCGCGCTCGTCTGCTACACACTCAAACCCGATGCCTATTACGAGCTCATTCATCTATACCACCTTCACTCTCTCGAGCCCCTCGAGGATATACCAGCAGAGTATATCTTTGCCAACTTCGCCCATGCTATTTTTCGCATCTGCGAGTTCTTCGACAACGATGGTGAACAGCGGAAGTGTGTCCAGCTTGAGCAAGAGGTGGGCCAGAAGCCACAATACAAAATCAGGGACAACCCAGAGCGCAAAGACTCGGGGACGCTGAGCAGGAGCCCGACTAAGCGCCGGGGGACAAATTACAGCTCACCTGAGAAGCGCGCCCGGAGCAACAACGAGGACGGCTCAGATGGCGAGGACGCCCCGGTCGGCTGCTCGTTCTCAAGCGGGACAACCAATAGCGAGGGCAGCCATGGGTACGAAGACGAAGCGCCGCGCGGTCGCACACTCAAGCGGCGACGAACGCCACAGCCTAACCGATCGCCATCTTGGTCTCATTTGAGCTACTATGACGTACCTAGCTGGTACGTCACTGAGCAGCGTTTCCCCGTAATTGTGGACGACCATGTACAAGATACCGTGGCGGGCCAGCACATCTCGGATCTTCAGGAAACGCTGCATTCGCCGTCACGAAAACGGCCCAGGACGTCTGTTTAGGCATTTCTCTATGGCATGTGATCCACATCGCCACTAATCTTTCATAAAATGGCGGGCGTATGGTAATGTTGATGATGACCTCTTTCGTTTTGCTATGATAGCATTGTTATTTAATGTGGAAGGCTATAATTATTGTGAGGGTTTGAAAGCATGATTATAAAAGCGTTTATTTCCTAAGAGTAGTTTAAAAAGAGGAAATAAAAGAAATTTAGCTATTTAAGCATTTTAAAAAGTAGTTATAAATTAGGGTTAAGAATATATATATAATATACCCCTTAGTTAAAAGGTAATTCTTGCCTTATTAATTACTTTACTTTTTTAAATAACTTATTTATATTTAAAAATATTAATTACAGCTTGCTAAGTAATTAATTATTTAATTTTTCTTATAATATATATATTTTATTATTTAAATTTTAACTATTTATAGCTTTATAATATAGCTTATAATTAATAATTAAATCTTTTTTTTAAACTTTTTAATTAAATTTATATTTAAAAATATTTATTTTTATTAATTTTAAATACTTTTTTAATTACATTAAAAATAATTAAAAGTAATAAAAAATAAGTTTTTAAACTATAAGCTATTTAATTTTTTTATATTTTTAAGGTTTAAAAAACAAATATAAGCATAATTAAATTAATAAGAAAGTTATTAATAAAGATAATAAAAGCTTTAATACTTTTATTAAAATATTATTAAATAATATATTTAAAAATAAGTTTTTTAATTAATTTAAAATTTATTTTTAAAGTATATATTAATTTTTAATATAGCTTTAAAAAATCTTTAAATATATATGAATAATTTAAAACTTAAAATAAAGTATAAAGAAAGAAAAGAAAATATAAAATAATTTAAAAAAATTAATAAGCATTATATTTCTTATTTTTTTTATATAAAAAGGTTTATATATAATTATAATAATAGTTCTTATATAAATTATAATAATAAAGGTAATTATTATTATTATTATAATTAAGGTAATTTTTATAAATTATTTTTAATTTATTTTTTATTATTTATACTTTATTTTTATTATACTTAATTTAGCAATTTTTTAATATTTAAGAAATCTTAATATATTTAAAAAAAGGCTTTAAATATATATAAATATAAAAAGTTTAATTAAGTTTACTTTAATTATATTTTTATAATTTTATTTAATATTTAAAATAATTTTACTTTATAATAATAACTTTTAAAAGTTATAAAAAATAAATATAAGGATATAATAAAATGTTTTTAAATTTAAATTATAATTACTTTAAAATAATATAATAAAATTAATATAAAGGCTTAAAAGCATTAAAATTAAGTTATTAATAACTTAAAAATTATAAAAAAGTATAAAAATTTTATTATTATTAAAATTAAGTTTTTTACTTTTAAAAATAATTTTATAAAGTAAATATTATTAACTTTTAATTTAAAATTATAATTAAGAATTTAATTAAAGATTAAAAAGATTTTTTAAAAAAGTTAAGAAATTATTATAATAACTAATAAAAGATTTTTAATTATAAAATAATTTTTATATAAGGGTTATATTATAGTTTTTAAAAAGTATAATTTTTAAGATTTTTAATAAAAATTTAATAATAAAAATAATTAATAATTAAATTAATTTCTTTTTATTAATTCTTTTATATTTTAAAGATTTAAAAAAGCTTTAAAATATTTAAATTAAATATTATAAGCTAACCTTAAGTTATTTATTATAAAGTACTTAAATAAAGTTTATATTTAAAATATAAAAAAAGAAATTTACTCTTTATTTATATTTATATTAAAGCTTATTTTTATAAGGTTAAAGCTTATTAATTAATTATAATAAGTAAAGCTTAATTAATAATATATTTTCCTTTTTAAGTTTTTATATAAGCTTTAAAAGGTAATTATATAATAAAAATAAAAAATATTATAATTTAATTATAAATTAAATATTATTCTTTATTTAATTATTTAATTATACCTTAATATTTTTTTTTAATATATTAAAGGTTTAACTTATTTTTTATAATTAATATACTTTTAATTCTTATAATTTAATATATTAATTAAAATAAATTAATAAAAAATAATTATTTAAATATAAATTAATACTTAAATTAATAATATTTTTATAATCCTTTAATATAAACCTTTTATATAAGTTTTTTTTATTTAAAATCTTAAAATTATAAATTTATTATATAATTTATAATTAATTAATATTTAATTATAAGTAATTTATTTTATTAATAAGAGATTTTTAAATTTTAAAAGCTTTATAATATTAAATTAATTAATATATAATTAACTTACTTTAAATTTAAATTAATATTAAATTAATAATATTTTTAAACTTTACCTTATAAAAAAAATTTATATTTTTTTTTTAAATAAATTCCTTTTTTTTTTAATTTTAATTAATAAAGATTATATTTTTATTTTTTTATAATAATTAAAATAATTATATTTATAATAATTAAAATAATTATATTTATAATAATTAAATTAATTATATATAAAATATTTAACTTTATTTATTAAAATTATTATAATATTAATATTTATTATTTTATTATTTTAAAGTTAAATATTATTTTTTTTTTATTATAATATTAAGAATATCTTTATATTATTATAAAATAAAATAAAAAATCTTAAATATATTTAATTACTTTTTATAATTAAATTAAGCTTTTATTATAAAAGTTAAATTATTAATTATTAATAATATTTTATATTTATTTAATTAATTTTAAGTTTTTATTAAATAAATTAATTAATTAAATTAAATAAAAGATTTTATTATTTTTTTATAATATTATTATAATATAATTAAATTAAATTTAATATATTTTTATTTTAAAAAGTTTTTAAATATAAAATAAACCTTTTTTAAAAAACTTTTTAATTATTTTTTTAAATATTTTTATAAAATTAATATAAAATAAAAATTAATTATAAAAAGTTTTTAATTAATTAAATATATTAAAAAATTAAACCTTTTTAATATTAATTATTTTTTTATTTATTATAAATTTAATATTTATTTTTATTAATTAAATTATTAAGTATTTTTAAAATAAAAGTTTTTTAAAATAAAAAAAACTTAATAAATTATTATTATTTTTTTTAAATTTTATTATATTAAATTTTATATAATTAATTTAATTATTATAAATATAATTATTTTAATTATTATAAAAAAATAAATTTATATTAATTTAAATAAAATTAAAGCTATATTTTTTATTATTAATAATAAAGCTTTTTAATATTTTAAATTATATTTTTTAAAAAATAATTTTTTTTTAAATATAAATTTAATATTTAAAAAATTAAAGAAATATTTTTATATTTATTTTATTTTTAATAATATTAAAATAATATATAATTTAAAATAAAAATATTAAAAGCTAAAGTTTTTTAAAAATATTTATTAATTTTTAAAAGCATTTCTTTATTTTTTTAAACTTTAATTAAAGCTTAATATTAATTAATATATTAATTATTTTATTATATTTTAATATAATTAAAAAAAAAATAATAATATTTTAAATACTTTATTAAAAAAAATATAAAAAGTTTATTAAATTAAAAAAAAATTAATAAATATTAATTTATATTTATAATATTTATTTATAAAAGAAAATTATATATATTAAAAAATAAATTAATAAAAAAAATTTTATTTTAATTATTATTAAATTAATTAATAAAAATACTTAATGTTTAATTAAATTTTTTTATAAATAAATAAATATTAAAATTTATTTTATAAATAATCTTTTTTTTAATAATATTATTTTTAATAATATAATTAATTAAAAACTTATTTATAAAAAAAATTAAAATTAATTATAAATAAAAATTATAAAAATAAATATAATGCTTAAATTTAACTTAAATTTTCTTTAATTAATAAGAAATTAAAATTAATATTTAATTAATTAAGTATTATTTTATAAAAAAACTTTATTTATTTATTTTTTAATTAAAAGAAATTTTTAATATAAAATTAATTTTATATTATTTAAATTAATATTAATATTATGCTATTATAATTTATTTAAATAATTCCTTATAAAGTATATTAAATAAAGGTAATTTAATTTTTAAAAGCTTTAAAGAAAAGAATTATTAAAATATTTAAAAATTAATAAATTAATAATATTATTAAGGAATTTTATATTATTTATAAAAATTAAAACTTTTTTATAAAAAAAATCTTAATTATTAATTTATTAATAATATTTTAAAAATAAATAAAGTTATTATTAAAAATATCTTTATTTCATTATTAATAAATAAATTTATTAAATAATTTATAATATATAAAATATTATTTTTCCTTAATTATTTTAAAAATATAATTAAATTAAATTAAATAAAAAAAGTTAAAATATTAAAACTTTTTTATTTTAATTAAATTATTTTAATAATATAAACTTATTTATAAAAGTTATAAATTTTATTATTTAATTTATATAATATATAATTTAAATTTTTTATAACTTAATTTTTATAATATATAAACTTTTTCTTAATAATATTATTATTAAAAACTTAAAAATAAATTATAAAGAAAAAGAAATATTTATTTTATTAAAAATTTAAAAATATATAATTAAATATATTAAGAATTTTAATAATATTTTTTATAATTTTAAATTAATTAAAAAAATAATTAATATTATTAATTATATTTATAATATATTTAATTAATATTTATTAAATATAAAAATTATTAAACTTAATAAATAAATTATTTATAAAAATATAATTAAGTTTAAATTAAGCTTAATAAATTTTTATAAAAAATAAATATTTTTATATAAAATTATTATTAAGTTATTATTTAATTTTTTTAAAAAATATATATTTTATTAATAAATTTTAAATTATTAAAAAATTATAAATATTTTTAAAATTATAATTATTTTAAAGCTATATTTAATTAATATTAATTATTTTAATAATAAAATTATTTTTATAATAAATTTAA